ATTAATATTATTCTTTCTATTTGTTAATTTTATAAATTTGTACGCAAGTTTTCTTTTCTTTATTTCGTAATACATTTATATTTGTCCTCTATTAATAACACCGAAATGTTTTATTTTCATTTAAAATAACCTTGTGCTTTATTTCCAAAAACATAAAAGTATTAATGTTGTGGACTAAAAAGAATGCTATTATCGTTTCATCATTTGCTATAATTATGTCATTGTGTTTAAAATATAGATGAAATATTATGTTTTTATCATTGTAAATTAATTATGTAATGAATTAATTAGATGTAGGTTTTTCAAGTGATTGATATACAATCACAATTGTCTATTTTTATTAACTAAGTTCTAGGTTCTAGCACATGTCTCAGAATCTAGAAGTGCAGTTGTAATTATTTATCTTTTATTCTAAGGGTTAAATTCTAGATTAAATGCCACTATAGTTTTTTAAAGTGAGGAGGTATAAATTAAAATAAAACAATTTACATTTTATTTAAACCAATGTTATCTATACAACAGCAACAACAACAACAACAACATAAACTTTATATAATTTAACGCCAAAGTTATAACAGTGCAAGCACGTGCTCACTTATTTCTTAGGGAAAAGTTGTAGTTAATATAAAATTGTTTCAATTATAACTCGTATGTTCTTTGATGTACAAGATAATGAGCTGAGATTTGTTTTGAGGAATTATCTTTTTAATGTTTGGATGCTACACTTAACATACCAGACAAATAGAAAAGCCTATGACATTATACCTTTTATATTTGTATATTACCTCTGTTCATGCGTTTTATTTTGCAAACAGGTTTACGTTTCAAATGAAACTCATTACAATTGGTATAAGCAAATTGTATTGGAAATGATCAATATTTTGCGCCAACGTTTGTAACAACCACCTGTTACATTAAATGTTTGACATGCTCACGGAGCACATTAAAACATACTACATATATACACAACATATGGATAATTATTCACTGGTTCCTTTCCTTTAATGATACACTAATATAAGCACTTACAAGCAAAATCATTATTGCTTGATTTCGTTGAAAGTCCCTTCTTTGTTATAATAATATTTTTTAATATTTAATATGTTTTGTTTTTCAATTTAAAGTAATGAGGCATTGCAAGTATGCGATAAATCTTTTACCTCAAAATATTAAAACAGAGTAGAGTATCTGTACATGTTACAACAGTGCTTATGTTATTTATGACTATTTATTAGAAATTTTCTTAAATTAAAAGAGCATTTTATGTAACTTGTTTTTATTATCACTTAAGTATGAAAAATCATTTTAGCTAATTGATTACAAGATTGTTAAATGGATAAAAAAATCCTGAAATATTTTGAAGTTATAATGCTACTGTTTATAATTCTGTTTATCTATTTAGATTTTTAAGTGCATAATGTGCAAGCATTCTTTTACAAGTAAACAAAATCACTTTCTATAAATTAAAAAGAATGGTAAAACATTATTTGTAAAAAAGAACAAACTTAAGATATTTTAACTAGCTATTTGATATAATACGTCAATAGTTTTTTTGTAGAAAATGTTACAATGTTTTGATTTCTACATTAAAATATGTCATCTGTACAATAGTTGTAGTCTTCTTTACAAGCATTTAAATGAAATATAAGCTTTAATTCATCCATTTTTATCACGGTTTTAGTGTAATAAGGTCAACTTCAAGATCATAATGTAAACAGCAGTACATAATACATTCAAAAAATTAATATAAACAGAAAGTATGTATAGGAATTCAATTTTTCACTTTTTAAATCAAAATTGGCTTGTTTTTGATAAGGTAATTATAAATATATATATTCTATCCTAATACTAATATATACAGGATAATATCTCAACAACATGTTACGTACAGCTGAATCTGGATATATATTTATCATATTTTATATACTATGGGATATATTCATGTATTAAAAACTGCTTACTGTGATATAAACAATAAAATTATACGTGACACTCAAGTGCATATCAATAATTGAAAACAGTCATTTGCAATACTTTATGTATGATTATTTCGAATGATTCGGGTTATCGTTTGAATCATGCGCTTTAAACATTTTTCATTAGCCGGAATATGATCTCGTCCTCGTTGGGTGGTTACATATTCTGACAAAAATAACCAAACACACTTTTATGATAGATGCACTGTCAGTTGTTTTTTTCTTGGAAGACTTTCAAAAACATATGAGCCGAAATGTAAGGCAAATGCTGCATGACAAGCAATAAATCTTTTTAACAATTGGGGATTAAGTTACGTATAAATTTATATCTCATCTATTAGCCTACTCTGAGATGACTTTAATGTAATAGTCTTAAACTAACAAAACCGTGCATTTAACGAAATCACAGTAATATATTTAAAAACCTCATCATATATATCAACATTGTTTTCAATTTTCATCATTATTAAGATATCATATCAAACAAAAAAAATTATGTTTTATATATTATTCATTTTTATAATTATATGTTTGCAATAAAACACAACATTGATATTTTAAAAATTAAGAATCAAAGAATACTTTAGCAGCTGCTGTTAAAAAATGTCAAATGAAGATAAGACGACCTGAAAATCATTTATAATTGAGTTGAAGAATTTTACCAGGAACTTTATTATTTCTTTGAGATCGGAATTCTATCTATTAAAAGTACTTGCAATGTGTATAACCATAGCAATGTATACAAATTTCAGTAATGATTTGGAAAACACAAACTCCAATAAAGACCTCTTATCCTTACTAAATATAGCATAGACACCCAGAATTGATTGTTATAAAATACCAATTGTTAAATGCACTAAATAAAACGATCAAATTGGGTGTGCTAAGATTTACCCTGTCTGCATTATTTATAAAATATCTCTATTTTTCATTTTCATGTCTATGTCATACTACAACTATTATATTACTCTTATAGAGAGAGTCACCTGAGAAACTTTCCTGAAAAGTATAGTCGTAATCATTTAACGTTTCAAGATGGACGACCAACAGCGATTTATTGGTTACATAATTCTTTTTACTCAGGTGAACTAAGAACGCCCAAAACGGTTATTTTGATTGATTATGGACGACAGTGGTGTTAACTGTCTACGCTTTTATAATTTATAAAATACCTGTATTTTTCATTGGTATGTCTTTCTTTATGTCAATGTCTATTTTTTTTTATCTCATGCGACTTACTCAAATATATCACTTAAACCATTTCAATATTCTTATGTTAAGAGATACCTGAGAAAAGTCGTAATCCATCCTTTATTTTATTCTATTATTTTAAGCATAGACGTATTTTAATAGTGTTGGCTATATCAGCAGGTGTAAAGTGTTGTGTGGCAAAAATTGCCCCGTACTTCACTTCAGTGTGATTTTAATAACATTCGAGTGGTTAAGTAAATGGGTGGAAAAGGTGGGAAAGGGAGCCAAGCTCAAGGGAAAAAACGTAAAAACAGTAATAGATCACCCCAGCAAGTGAACCAGGAGACTTCACGCCGGAAAGTGACAGATATGAACAACTCATCAGTACAGACGACAGGTCAGGGACAAGGATGTATGAACGGCAGCTTTGGCCAGGCAAGTCAGACATTTGTTATGCAGGGAACTAACGTTAATGGCGGATATACATATGCGGGAAATTCATCACCAAATACGGTAAACAATACACAAACATTTCAAACATTGAGCAATGGTCATGGTATTGTACCTACAACGCCAGTAGCAACGTATAATATACCGCAATATAATACCAGCACACCTTTGAATTCGAATTCACCCAATAGCATCGATCCATTTACATTGATCTTGAACAGATTGGATAATATGGATATGAAACTAGGACAACTTGAAAAAATTCAGACTACCGTTAATGGATTAACGGTATCCATGTATGATATAGGTCAAAAGGTCGACGCCATGGAAAAACGGATCAGTGATCTCGAGAGTAGCCAGCAGTTTGAAAGCAATACCGTAGATGAAATCAAAAGAAAGCAGGACGAGATCGTTTCCTTAAAAACCAAAGTGTCCCAAATAGAAACTCAGCGTATTGAATGTGAGGATCTCGTTAATGAGATGAAATGTGCTGACCTCAAAAATAATCTTCTGTTTTTTCGGGTTAATGATGAAGAATCCGAAACAAATGAACAGTGTAAAGAAAAGATTTTGACAATAATGAAAGAAGACATGAAAATAAAAAACGCAGGAAATATCATGATGACCAAAACAGAAAGAATGGGAAGATATAAATCGGACAAGATACGCCCTATTGTTGTACGATATAGTAGTTTTGAGGAACGTGAAACTGTGAGAAAATCGTGCAAAAATCTCACAAAGTACAATTCTGTTGGGGTAAGTCAACATTTCCCCAAAGATATAGCAGATAAACGGAAAGCACTCGGACCGATACTAAGGAAAGCAAAAAATGACAAGAAGAAAGTTGAACTGCGGTATGATAAACTATTCATTGATGGCAATTTGTACATACCGCCACAAACGGACTAGGAAAGCGCCGAGAGTGATATACATATTTTAACGTGGAATGTCGAGGGATTAACCAAAAACAAGCGTTCAAACGACGAGTTTACAAATATTCTCACACAATACGATATAATATGTTTATCAGAGACATGGACTTCTAAATCATCAAAGATAGACTTAAAAGGATATAGTAACTTTCACTCATACAGACGTTTCCAGAATAGACGTGCAAAAAGAGCAAGCGGTGGGATTATAGTGTATATTAAAGATTTTATAAAGAAAGGTGTCAAATTAGTGAAAAACGATATTGACGGTGTAATATGGTTAAAACTTGATAAAATATTCTTTCAAACAGATACAGACTGGTATATTTGTTGCACATATGTTGCCCCGGAAAATTCACCCGTACATGACTTTTATGAAAGTGACATATTTAGTATTTTAGAACAAGATATTACAACTTTTCAACAGTACGGACGGACGTTACTATTAGGCGACATGAATAGTCGCGTGGGGGTAAAGTGTGATTTTATCAAGGATGAGCGCTTAACGGATTTAGACATGAACAATACCTTAAACGATGTACCGCCAATACGACGATCAATGGATTTAAATAGTAATCAATTTGGTGACTTATTGATTGAACTTTGTAAAGCAGTGAATATGTGTATTGTTAACGGACGATCAGGTATGCCGGGCGATAAGGGCAGTTATACGTGTATGACGCACAATGGTGAAAGTGTGATAGACTTAGTGTTGACTAAATACTCAAATTTCAAGTTCTTAAAGCAATTTATGATTCATGATTACACAGAATTTTCCAACCACACACCCGTGTCATTTCGATTAAAATTAGGTATTGTCGAAAAAAGGGAAACAACTCACCGAATAATATATAACAGGTGGAATGATGAACACAAACATGCATTTCGAAACGATATATTCAGTGAAATTGGAAATTTAAACAGTCTGCTAGATGACAGTGATATCAGCATAAATGATAAAGTACAAACTTTTAGCCAAGTAATTACCGATAACGCCGATAAATACTTTAAGAAAAATGTTAAATGTACAAATAACACATTCCTTGATAGAAGCAATGACAGGAAAAAATGGTTTAACGAAGAATGTATAGAAAAGCAACGTATATACAAGACAGCATTGGGACAATATCTGACACATAGAAATACGAAATCATTGAATAGACTGCATCAGCTTAAACGCGAATATAAAACATGTGTAAATCGTGCAAAGAAAACATTCAATCGTGATCGGTGTCGTGAAATGAACACAATGAGAAGGAAAAGCCCCCGCGAATTCTGGAGAATGTTTAAGACTAATAAAAATAATTCTGTCAATGAGATTTCAAACGAACAATTGTGTGAGCACTTTAAAACATTAGCGCAGGACCATAATACCCCGGATGATGATATCGAAGACTTTTTACGTGATTTTGATGAACATGACGGAAACAGTACATATGAGGAACTCGATTTCCCTATTACGTCAGATGAAGTGTTAAAAGCATGTAAAACATTAAACAGAAATAAATCACCTGGAGATGATTCCATTATAAATGAATATTTGATTGAAACCTGTGATCTATTAATACAGCCATTAACTACGTTATTTAACATTATATTTGAATCGGGACAATTTCCTACAACTTGGTCAAATGGTATTATTATACCTCTTTAAAGGAAACAACCTGGTGATGACCCAAACAATTATCGCGGGATCACACTCATTAGTTGTTTGGCAAAATTATTCACTTCAGTGTTAAATACGCGTCTTAAAAATTGGACAGATATTCACGAAACAATAACTGACGCACAATTCGGATTTAAACCTAATTATGGAACTACAGATGCGATATTTGTATTACAGTCATTAATTGACAGCTACTTAAGTCAAGGGAAACGTCTATACGCTGCTTTCATCGACTATCAAAAGGCATTTGACTCTGTTTCTAGAAGTGCATTATGGTATAAGCTAACTAAACATGGAATCGGCGGCAAATTTTTAAAAGTTTTACGATCAATGTACGCAAATGTAAAATCTTGTGTTAAGCAAATAGACAAAGTATCCGACTTCTTTAGTTGTGATATCTATAGGAGTAATTCAAGGAGAAATAACGTCAATCATATTATTCTCGCTCTTCCTAAATGATATTGAAATGACTATACAAGAAAATACACAGTCTGGATTAACTCTTGACCAATTAAACATTTACCTTCTGCTCTATGCGGATGAATGCATACTATTGAGCGAAGCCCCGGAAGGAATGCAATCACATCTCGATTTACTATACAACTATTGTGTAAAATGGAGATTAACCGTCAATGTAACGAAAACAAAAATTATAGTATTCAAAAAAGGTAACGGGCGTGTGAGAGATAACGAAACATGGACATATAACGGCAACGGGATAGATATCGTCGAATCTTTCAACTATCTGGGCTACGTACTAAGCAGTAATGGTTCGGCGAAACGGGGCATGGATGCCCTTGCATCAAAGGCTATAAAATCCATGAACAATTTACTATCGGTAACAAAAGACATAGAAATGCCAGATAAGATAAAATTCAACCTATTCGACGCATATGTTACTTCTATTCTTTGTTATAGTGCTGAAATCCGCAGAAGTAATAGAACGTGTACACCGAAAATTCATTAAGCGAGTCCTAAATGTGAAACTATCGACAAGTAGCCATGGCATATACGGTGAAACGGGTAGACATCAACTAGTTCTTAACAGAAAAGTTCGAATTGATAAATTTTGGTTGAAACTTTTACACAACGGACAACGGAACTGTATAATATGGAATGTGTACGAATCTATGTTAAAAACAGCTGAAAATGGACTGCAAAACTGGGCCTCAAAAGTGAAGAAACTACTTGATGTATGTGGCTTTGGGGAAGTATGGCTATATCCACGTTCGGTATATATTAACGCGTTTATACCAATATTCAAACGAAGATGTTATGACATATATGTTAGTGAATGGAGAGTGTGTACGCGAAGTAGCCCAAGTATCATGTTATTTAATAGTATTAAACAAAACTTTGGAATGGCAGATTATTTAACATTGATGGAAAATAAGAAATATAGAAATGTAATAACAAAAATACGTTTGTCCTCTCATTGCCTTGAAATTGAACAAGGTAGGCATAGGAACATTCCTAGGAACGAGCGTGTAAATTATGTCTTCAACGAACAATAGAAGATGAATTCCACTTCATATTAGAATGTCCGGTGTATAATAACATTAGAAGACAGTATATACCACATTGGTACAGAACAAGGCCAATTATGATTAAATTCATTGATTTATTATCATCCAGTGATGTGCAAATTTTATACAGACTGGCAAAATATCTAATCAAAGCATTTGAAGAAAGAAAGACTCTCTTAAATACAAATAGTTAATTAAAATACTTAACTTAAATACTGTGTCATATGAAATAACAATTACCAAGTTTGACATTTTCGTTATCATAATTGTATATGAATAGTCAGAAATAGCAAAGCCGAATATCTCAAATCTATCGAAAATATGTAGACTTTGTATTTATCTTTGATACTTTGATTCATTATTGTAGATTTTTAATCATCCAGATTTTTAGCATCCTACTTGATGAGATTTGATAAAAATATGGAAATCACATACGACCCATGTTTCGGTTTCAGGATAGTGCAGGTCCTTTTTGTTGTGTTTGACAATGAAAATCCTTTCTAAGGTCATTTGCACTGTACCTTTGCCCTGGTGTATGAGTTATCAGTTCCTTGTTTTTATTATCACAGGTAAACTGCTTGACAGTCTGTCAAAAAAGATGCGATGGCTGAACTGTGCTCTGGTGAATTCAAAGTGGCTTTGGTACCAATTATACTATAACTTTGACAAACAATAATAAACAGAAAGTATTAGATCACGCTTATAAAAATATTATATGTTTTATGAAAACATTTAGGTAGTATGTTTAATACCATGTATGGATTAACCAATAGATATGATATTTAAATAACTGTCGTCTCATATTACATTATAAAACACCCTTTTTATTATCTTTCAATCGCACATGAACATTTAATCTTATTTCCTGCAAATTAGCCTTTTCTGGGTAAGTAAGGCAGTAAAAAAATGTTAATAAATACTGCAAAGTTAGTCATTGAATGTAACTTATTACCTGAATCTTGAATCATTTTACTATTCTTAACATTTCAATTCATTTTTTATCTACTTTTTATTATTTAAATATTTTGTCTCATCTTTTAATTTCCTGCAAAAACCTATTGCTCAGTTTAACCAGTATACAGGTAAACATGTGTTCAAATGTGAAATTGAATAAGTACTTTTCTCATTTGTTATCTGTTACTAATCATCGATGTCATGCTTTGCTTTTATCATTAATTATGCGAGACAAGTTGTTTTTAATTTGGGTTTATACTTTCATCGAAATTGTATCTTTTTTCTTTACTCAAGTTCTAGCACCTCTTGAAGTTAAAATAACGGTTCTAATTGTTTGTATTTCATTATCTAAGTGTTTAATTTCCTGATCAAGTGCTAGCATAGCTCTTGTGAACTGAAGCAGACGTGAAGGGTTGTAACCATTCGTCACATAAAATAGGTAGTTCTTTAACAGCCAGGAAACACACATTCTTTAAAAATCATGTATGTTGCTATCAAAGTGGTTTACCACACTATGTGATATTATATATATGTACATAATTATGCAGATAAAACAATTTTTGAACATCGAAGAATATGTATTCATTTCTTATTGTTAAATTTGACTTAAACTTTACAAAAAATAAATTTCTAATAACCTCCCTGTAATGTCTTTATAAATAACGCTTTTTGGAACTTACAGTATTGAAAAATCTTAATTTGAGCTTCATATTTATGATTTAAAACCATAAAATTTTTCGTTTTGATAGTTTTGTAGCGTTAACAGCATTATCAGTTAAAGACAAATTATTTAACATTCTCCGAGTTCTGAAGAATTTGATGCTCATGGGATGTGTCTTTGTGAAGGAAGAGTTTGATAAGCTCTCGTGTGTCGTGTCTTTGTAAAGAATATAATTTAAATTCAATTATTTTCTTGTACCTAATTTGAACCAAATTCAAGAATGCACAGATTGACACTTGTGAATGATTTTAACTGAAATAGTGGTAGGTAAGTAAAAATTATGATCTTAATTAAATAATGCTCTTTGATGTTAATGTTAATGAAATCATCATTTTAAAACTGAATATACCAGACAAAAATGAATTATAGGTTTTAATCTTTTTTAGTCATTATCTTCAATGGAAATATTTTACCTATACTTTAAGTAGTATATTAATCATTTCGCGAAAGTTCAAGAAAGATAATAATCAACAGATTTCATGGGAGCGATGGGTGAGAAACAACACTGTAATTTACAAATACATCAGTTACATGTAAATTTATTTTCAATAATCTAATTTGAAATATTTTCAGAACATATGACAGCACTATCTATATTGCTTACATGTGTTTTGTCTTGGCGAAGCTTTCAAATGTTCAATGTCAAACTAATGCAAACTGTTTTATCTTCCTTAACTAAGATGCAACATAGACGCCTTCACTACAAAAATAGACACAATCATACTTGAGTCGTTATATGAGAGTTATTGTGGAATGCGATTTCGTAATTTTGATGATCATTTTTTTTTACTTGTATCAGCAGTTATCAATAAAAAAAACATTTCATTTAGCTGTTTGGAATATTATTTCACTTCTCTCATAAAGTACTTCTTTGTTTGTCAGGTGTAGCAAGGAGGATTCTGAGGTCTCATAGCTTTCCTGTCCAGTTTATATCAGTAAGTTCAGTTGAGAAGATCCCTACTGTCATTTCATAAAATATTGAATTAAAATACATGAATAAAAATAATAGTAGAAGAACGTGGGTTTTGTGTTTCAAAAAGAGTATTATTCAAAATGAAAATAATGAAATGATAAAAGCACTTTTATTTACTTTCTTTAGACATGTTTCTTACAGTGTTTCTTCTCAATCAAATTTTGCTTTTTAAAGTAGCATGATAAGTTAATTAAGCATTGTTTCATATAAAAAATGTCATGTCAAAATAACAATGAGAAACCATTTTTGTATATTACAATATTTCAGCATTTAATATGAATTATCTCTTTGAGAACATATCATTTATAAAATATTGGGATAATCAAGAAAGAACAATGTACAATTCTAAAGGGCAAAATAGATATATCATTTTTATTATTGAGACAGAATCAAAGCGTTTCGAGCGCTATATATTATAAAGGAGTGTAGCAGTTTGCACGCCCTTCGTAATTAAATGGATTTCTTTAATTATAATTCCGGTGAATTCACGTCAAACATCATAATAAGTGTCATATATACTGCACGATTGATGACGTCAAACACTTGTGGTATTTTATTGAAATCTTTAGTTTTAGTTACAGAGTATCAATGAAAGTGGCTTTTCAAAATCATCGATGTTTTCGTGTTATCGTTAACTATGTCAAAACTGCAAATGCAATGATCTGAGTCAAACAAAAACATATAATTATCAGGCATGAACCAAACAATTTAAACAATGAAAATTACAGTGGTAACGAAAAATCATTTCTGAATCATTTTTTTTGATTTGCATGTTAAATTTTTCTTTTGGGATACTGTGTATTTGGATTAATTA